TGTGCCGCGCGACGAGAAATTCTGACTATGTCGTGGATCGCGGACGGAAAAGTAGCGCGTCGATACTCGCGCCCGTTTTCGGTGAGTTTGAGAGGCTGCGCAAAGGCATCTGTGTTTGTTATAATTACTTTGCTAATACATTTATTGCCATATGACTTGTTACTTTTTCTTCTACACTCGTACCTTTGTAGTAGAGTAATTGAATTTCATGCCTATATTTCTAAAATAAATGTGCGATCACTGGAAGGCGAGATATAGCGTTATTTCTCCGACAAGTAGCTCAAAGATACACCACCCACTCTTATTACAAGTGAAGTATTAGCTTTATGCTACGTCCTGATATGATTTTTATAATTTACACTTGCTGATGAATAATTTATCCTTGATATAAAACTTAGAAACATGTATTAAAGTATATCCTAATATCGTAATATATAGGCAAACTTGAGTGAACTAACACAAACTCCTGGCCCGCCGCCATCCCTACATCGCCCTCAAAACCCATCATTCTTTTGCTAAATATTTTATGTAAACCTTTATCATAAGCCAATATAATAAGCTCTTGTAATAGAGGATGTTAATCTACATCTATAGAGAGCATAAAGTCCCGATAAGTGACCCAAAAGAGCGTGTATTTAGAAAGAAAATACCTGCCCCTATACAGCGGACAGGTTCAGCCGATGCCTCTCTTGTTGGATAGAGGCAACAAGAGAAGCTTTGCTATGTTACTAAATAAAGTGCATTTTAATTGTAATAATAAGAATTTTTGACAACACTGCATTAAAGAGAAGGTTAAGAGATTATACTGTGCAAAGTATAAGAGCTGACACAAGAGGAATAAGGAGAAAAATAGCCTTTGAAACTGCATGCAAGAGGCTGTCCTACTTGAAGCGTAGGGGGAGACGGGCCGTGAATTTTTACAAACAATTTCTTTCAACTTTTCTCGGCAAAGAGAAGATGAACCATTGAAATATATATACCATAAATTAGACAAAAAATTCATTCATCATATGAGGTGTGATAATTGAAGGTCCTTATCCAGATATATTATAATTTGACGATAATGTTTACCAGGGGGCGTGTTACATAGGGACCAAGTTCCCCTGGCATGTGTGGGAGGCTGAAGACAGATGACATTCATATCTGTATCATTTGCAAAATAATTCTGTATTCTGTGTTTTTTCGAATAAGATATTGAGTATGTAGATCGAAAATCCCTTGATGTTAGAGAAGATCTCTCTCCAGGAATAGCTCTGGAGTTAAAATAGGTCCAATGTCACTATCCCTGGTATATAGGGACACGCACCTCTTCACACCTGTAATTATTTTTTCATTAGCAAAATATAGACATAACACATAAAAGATATATAATTTTGGATACAAGACCTGTGATAGATGTCACAATCAATACTTTTACTGATGCTTACGTTTCCACATGTTCTGACTTGAATATTATAATTTAGGCCTATATATATATATGCATGGCATTCTTACCGTGTGAATGGAGAAGCGATGCTTAATTCCGTATCTAATGGCTATAACTGGAGAGAAAATCTAACTACAGAATACCTATGATAGAATTTTACAGTTTTTTAGATACAGCGCCGAGAAGCTCTTTTGATAAGCTAACGCCAGTAGATTAAGTGGCCCATTTAAGGATCTTGCCAAATCGTGCAAGGAAACGGCAAGGTTGTTTGTATCTTGTGCAAGACTTCCGTTTGTTGTATCTTTATGCCGTTTGTTATTTATTGCTTCGTATTGTCATAATGAAAATTCGTGATCACATATTTCATAGTGCTTCTCGGGATGCATGTTGATGTTGCAATATAGGTCATGTATTCTTGTGTTATGTTTTCATCGATTGCGGTTTATTCTATATAATCGTGCAATAATATATGTGTATTATCCTTGATAGGTTTTGCCGTTTGAAAGTACAATATACATTAGTTCCAGACACGCAAGATATTCGACAAAACGCCGAATAAATGAACAAATGGATAGATAGGCAAAAAACAAAATCATAAACTGCTGTAGATACGAGTATTAGTGAAGACATATGTAAAAAGGTTTACAAACTATCAGAATCTTATAACAACACATATGAATGAAAACAAGGCATTGGAGATACAAATCTGCAGTGAAAGAAAATATAGGTCAACAGTAATCTGCCACAGAACAGTAGCTAAAAAGATAACTATTACTCGACAAGACAGGTGAAATACTCATCTTGACCTCGAAAAGGCGTTCTGTGGCACAGGATGAACGAGCAGTGTAAACAGTTGTAGTTTACCCTCTTGTTTTCCCCCCAATTTTCTTTCCTGCTTACTATTCTTTCCATTTCTCTCGCCTGTACTAGCGTGTCATAAAAAAAGAGAGAAAAAACACCGTATTGCGTAAGTTGGATCACACGCAATATATATTTTTTTCTCCTGCGATTTATCCTCCATTTACTTAACGTTTTATATATTCACAGAATTTCTTAATCGGTGTGGCTGCATTT